AGATGAAGAGCAGTTAACAGCTCCACTCTCTTTCATTTTGCTAGGCTGCTTAAAGAACCCAGTTTAATCTTACCCACTCAGGACACAACAGGTTTAAAACCCACTTTAGGGTCTCCCCAGAAATCGGCATTTCCACACCTACGTCCTGAACAGCACAGGTAGAAAGATGTTACAGTAAGAGTACGTCACTCATATGCAAAAAGCGTCACCTGACCAATGATATTTTCATATATTGTGACTATGTAGCCTGAATTCAAGAATATTTGCAAATGAGGTGGGGGAACCTGCCAATGTAATACATTACTCCTGCAAAGCATAGCTGTAAAAGCAAAATGAAGCCATTTGTTTGAAAAAACATGACCATATGATTTAGCAAGCTACATCATCATTTAATTTCCACTGAATAATATCAGGTTTCAGAGTAACAGCCGTGTTAGTCTGTCTTTGCAAAAAGAAAAGGAGTACTTGTGGCACGTTAGAGACTAACCAATTTATTTGAGCATGAGCTTTCCTGAGCTACAGCTCACTTCATCGGATGCATACCATGGAAACTGCAGTGGACATTATATACACACAGAGACCATGAAACAATACCCCCTCCCACCCCACTGTCCTGCTGGTAATAGCTTATCTAAAGTGATCATCAAGTTGGGCCATTTCCAGCACAAATCCAGGTTTTCTCACCCTCCACCCCCCCACACACAAACTCACTCTCCTGCTGGTAATAGCCCATCTAAAGTGACCACTCTCTTCACAATGTGTATGATAATCAAGGTGGGCCATTTCCTGCACAAATCCAGGTTCTCTCACCCCCTCCCCCCCTCCAAAAACCACACACACAAACTCACTCTCCTGCTGGTAATAGCTCATCCAAAGTGACCACTCTCCCTACAATGTGCATGGTAATCAAGGTGGGTCATTTCCAGCACAGATCCAGGCTCTCTCACCCCCCCACCGGGAACACACACACACATAAACTCACTCTCCTGCTGGCAATAGCTCATCCAAACTGACCACTCTCCAAGTTTAAATCCAAGTTTAACTAGAACATTGGGGGGGGGGGGGGGGAGCAAAAAGCAAGGGGAAATAGGCTAACTTGCATAATGACTTGGATTTATGCTGGAAATGGCCCACCTTGATTATCATGCACATTGTAGGGAGAGTGGTCACTTTGGATAAGCTATTACCAGCAGGAGATTGAGTTTGTGTGTGTGGTTTTTGGAGGGGGGTGAGAGAACCTGGATTTGTACTGGAAATGACCCACCTTGATTATCATACACATTGTGAAGAGAGTGGTCACTTTGGATGGGCTATTACCAGCAGGAGAGTGAGTTTGTGTGTGGGGGTGGGGGGGGGCGGAGGGTGAGGAAAACCTGCATTTGTGCTGGAAATGGCCCAACTTGATGATCACTTTAGATAAGCTATTACCAGCAGGACAGTAGGGTGGGAGGGGGTATTGTTTCATGGTCTCTGTGTGTATATAATGTCTACTGCAGTTTCCACGGTATGCATCCGATGAAGTGAGCTGTAGCTCACGAAAGCTCATGCTCAAATAAATTGGTTAGTCTCTAAGGTGCCACAAGTACTCCTTTTCTTTTCACTGAATAATATATTACACCTTCCACCAGAGGATCACAAAGCACTTTACAAACATTAATGAAGCCCATAAATGTGTTCAGGCTATGTATTATCCCCACCTGAACAGACAGAGGTGCAGAGAATGTGTATGACTTGCCCAAAGACAAAGGAAGTCAAGGGTAGGTAGGAGTGATAAAACCCAGTATTCCTGACTCCCAGTCTGATGCACTGTGTATGAGACCATGATGCTACCTGTAACATTTACAACAGGGGAGCAGCCAGAGGCCCCAAGCAGGCTCAAGGCTTAGCTGTAAGAGGTTCTTTACAAACCCAGGTAGACCATGTCCCTGAGCTCACAATCTAAGACAAGCAACAACAAATAGCTGGGAGAGACAGGGACAAAGATATAGTTTATAATACACATCTGAGGTATTTTTAGTCTTGGAAATAAATATCAACTTCCTCAGTTACCCCACAACCCTCTGCCCATTAGTCTCACCTTTAACACAAACTGGCTTCTGGTAGACATCGCAGCCAAATGGGCCCTATAAAAGATTTCATTTTAAACTGCACAGCTCTGAACCCTGTTAGGAGGACCGTAGTTTAAGGATTCCTACAACAGGCTCAGTGGTTTTCACCAGTTCCACATTTTAAGAAGAGGAATTTCAATTAGAGTTTTCTGGCCTTGAGCAGTGATGTGCAATAGGAAAAGCCTCCCACTGCTCTGGTATAATGACCAGCAACATATTCAATGAGTATGTCACGGGGTCCACTCACCACAAAGGCATCTCCTCCTGGCTGCTCTGGGGATTATCTCCTTCCAGTCCAATGCCCCCTTCCGCCGCTCATTTACAGACCCAACTACGCTTCTGTCACTCTCTCTGAATGACTAAGGGAGTTCTCTCTTCCTGTCTTGGCCTTCTAGTCACAACACTGTAGTCCCCTTCCGGAGTTAGCAAAGTCCCATTGAACAACTGTCCCAGGCAGTCTTCGGCTCCAATGCTCAGTCTGTGCCACTTTCCCAGGGGCTGCTAAGGAAACCCAGGCCTGCCCTCTACTCTGGGTTCCAGTCCAGGGACCCTATATGTAGCACTGTGACCTGCTTTCTCCCTGATCCTGTTGCTCTTTCCCTGGACTACTTCCTACATCTTCTGGCTCCCAGGTTTACCAGTCCAAACTCCCTCTTCCCAAGGAGTCACTGTAACTTTACTTAACACTGCAGCCCCAAAAACATCTTCCTTCTCCCAGGGTGTGACTGCAGCCTGCTTCCCAGCTTTCTGCCAGCCCCACCCATTCCTTCTCAGCTGGGCTCCATCATCAATCAGCCTCTCAAGCCCTGGCTCTCCCTCAGGTGCAGCCTTTCAATCTAATGTCACCTGCTCTGCTTTGTATGAGGTGAACACCCCATCACAGGGTAAACACCAACTTCTGTGTGAATGAGTCCTAATCTGCACACAGGTCAAAGGGCTCAGCTTGAAACAATTTAAAACTGTTGCTTAAGTCTCCTGCAAGGAACACACAGGTACCTCAAGCACCTTTTGCTGTCATTTGTGGCCAATCAGATCACACATCTGTAAATTCCGGAGAAGGAAGCAAAACAAGCAGAGGCACCAATGAAATCATTCTCAATTCCACACCAATCATTTAACACTAACTCTAGGTACACAAGTCAATTCCTTTCCCACACCTTCTGGCCCCACTCAAAGCCTAAACGATGCAATTTACCCATGACACACCTTGCAAAGTCTTGCATTGCAGTAACCATCCCTCAGACCAAGGAGATCCAGCACCCTCTGGAGTCAACAATCCTGAGTCAGCCACAGGGGAACCCTGGAACACAACACAGCACGCTCCAGCCCCTACTGCCCAGAAGCAGATAACCAAGGCCCAGGATCCAACACCTGCCTCCTGGACGGTAGCACCTTGTTCTGCCAGTTGATGGCACAAGGTTTCTATGTATTTGGGGTGCGGTATAAATGAAATTTTCAGGGCACCCAACTCCCCAGTATATTGGAAAGGAAAGGTAGAGCAGCAGAGCAGTCTTTCAAATTGATTTGTTAATGAAAGGGAGGCACAAGCACTGGTGTAGTAGCCCTTCCTTCTGGTTAACGGGCCTCACAAATCCAAAGAGCTTATTGGGGAGGAAACTGGAGCATGCCCAGGTGGACATAGCTGGAGAAAATGGGTTTTTAAGAGTTTCAGGGGGCAGGAGGAGGAACTTGAGGGTCAGTGAGGTTTTCCAGCAGCAGGGGGAGGGGCAGGTCAGGATCAACAGCCATTCGTAACTCTGACCCTTCTGTAGCACAGTGCTCTCAATACAGCCTACCATTAGCAGCTCCCAGGCCCTTAGGCTGGGGAGCAGGAGTAAGGAAGATGGGTGACAGAAAAATACATGCAGAGGAGGGAATGAGCATGAGATGCAAAGTGGGGAGCAGGCTGTGGGACGGGAGTCAGTGAAATAGGAACACTTATTCTGTGGAAGGAAGGGAGGAGGAAGAGGAAAAGTGGAACTTCAGCTGCTATATTTGTCTGCAGTTCCCCAAGAGCTAAGATCTGCCCCACTCACTGGAGTCTGCGATAGATACAGACACAGAAGAGAGCAGCTCCACCACAGAACCCCCGCCCCTCCCACAGCAGAAGAGGGCACGAGCCTGGGCAATACAGACCTGGTTCCCAAACGCAAAAAGGAACCACAGGTAAGCGGAGACCTACTGCCTCATAAGCGGACTGTTGAGTTGCTTGGCCAGCCCCGCCGCTTGAGGAGGAGCCAGTGTAGGCGAGGAGGCTGGTTTCCTGGCACTGGAGCCTATGCTGATTTTATGGCAACCTCTGCACAATTTCCAAACTACAAACAGCCAAGCAGACACACCAGGCGACATGGAGCCAGCAGGGCCTTCTCCATTTGTTACAGCAAGCTTAGGAAGTAAGGAAATATTAGGACCCGCTACCAGGTCTATCACAGGGCAAACTCCTTAGCCACCTGAGAGATAAGGGGCCTATAAGCCACTAAGAATGAAACAGAGGCATCCTTGATTAGGGTCTTCCTCTGGAGAACGAGAAGCAGGAGCTGTAGGCTTTGTTTTCCAAACAGAAATATATATCAATGTACACCACAAGCTCCTTAGCACAGGGACCATGGCCACTTTTACATGGCACTGAGCATGCCCCGCTGGTGCTCAGTGAATAGCAAGGCCCCACATGGAGAATGGAGCTCATGGCGCAATTTGAAAGCAGACATTTTTATGCTGCTAAATCTGATGTCATTCCTAATGGAAAGCTGATGCAGAGAAGGGCTGGTAATTAAACATACTAAGGTGTATTAAAATGCTCGCACGCCACGCCACACCACATAGTAAGGCACAATAAAAGCAAGTGCTCCAATAGGCCTCCCAAAATAAAATAAAAAATTAACTACCAACCACTAAGATGGGGGAAAGTTGTTTATGGATTGATTAGCCCTGGGAATTGACATTTCCTAGCCATTTAGGCACCCTTGTAATAGTCTAGTTTGTTGTGTAGTGCCTCTCATCAAACCAGGCTCTCCAGGCACACAGTATAAAAATCCCTATGGGCAGCCTCTCTTGGCGAGGTCACTACATTTTCCTTAATATATATTCTTTAAAAGGGCCTCTAAGCCCTTCCCCTCCAGACACTGCTTCTTCAAGAGAAGTCCTTGCTTTAAAAAGGGGATGGGGCTCCTTAGACAGGAGCTTGCTCCTGGTTATTCGAGTCCATTATCATTTTCAAAGTCATTTCTTCCACTTCTGCTTTGGATCTTTGTTCTTCTTGAATTTCTTTTGTTGTTTTGGTCCTTTTTCCATGTCTAGTTTTCTCTTCTTTTCACTGAGAAACAGGAACAAAACATTTGTTAAAGAGAATTTCAATTCAACAGGGGAACATCTGCTACATGGGGGAGAGGCCTCCACAGAAACCTTAGCTACCAGGCCTCCAAAGGAGAGGGTGTGGGGGAAAAGAAATGATCCCGTTCCTTGGCTCATTTAAAGCACTAAGCGAAAGCACTAAGGAATATGGCCTAGATGTTCTGGTGTCTTGTTTTTTGGGTGCCCAACTTGAATCCCCTTAAAGTAGCCTGATTTTCAGACGGTTGGTGCTCAGAACCTTCTTAAAGTCAAGCCCCCTGAAGGCATCTCAAGTTAGGCACAGAAATTGGGGCACCCTAAAATCATTAGATACTTGAAAACATAGGCATACAAAAACAGTCCTGCACTGGGCTTAGGCTAGGGGTGGATGGATCAAATGAACAAATCTGTGGACTCTCCAATTTCAATGACATTTTAAAATTCCCTGTATGTTTTTTTAAGATGTCTTAGGGCTCATTTCCTGCTTCCAGCATTCACAAAAGCAATGCACATGCATACAAAGCAGAATAAAGATGCAAGATGGGCAAGATAATTACTCCTGTCCTTAGGCCTCAAGAAAAACAACGTGTATGAAAGTGCCACCCCATAAATCCCCAGGTGCACAGATCAGTAAAGATTCGATGCTGACCTGTGTGAGAGCTGAATGAAGGAAGATGGATGAAAACCACGTTAGGGAGTCTAACATTTTCAGCTAAGAACCTGACCCTATGAGCTGCTGAACCATCCGCTCCTGAGGAAGTCACAGGAAGATGAGGGCACTCAGCATCTCAGAGGATTAGGCCCTAAATTAAGAGGATGAATTTCTACAAGCTTCCACTGGTGTCAGTGCAGAAGAAAATCAAATGGAACAGGAGTAGTTCTTAAAAGAATTACCCCCACCAAAGGAGAATCAGGACAAATTAGGTGTATGGCCAGGGTGAAAAAGCGGGGTTAGTTAGGATTGAGAGAAGTACCACACTGGATAGTAAAAGTCAAGATGGGATCAAGTTATGAAAAGGGAGGACTTTTTCAGAGCCACACTACTGTCTCATCTTCTCTACTCAAGGGAAGACCCAGCCTGCTTGCTATTTACCCTCTCTGGATCCCCACTAGGCGTATACATAGAGCGGCAAGGTATACAATTCCTGCGCCTTTAACTCCTCATCTTCACTCTACGTTTAAGCATTACAATAAAGCAAACTGGGAAAGACAGATCCATTGAAGAGAGGTGCATGGATTTTTTTTTGTTTGTTATGAACACTTTCCCAACCTTTTCAGGCTGACAATCGAAGCATTCTGTCCTGCTTTGGTCAGCACTTCGTTCCATTCTTCATCATCGCCCCGGATTATATATCTAAGTGAGAGGTGGAGAAAACAAAACCAAACCAAGTCTGTTTAAAGGAGAACAATTAAGGTTAATTATGCTTCTGTCCACAAACTGCTACCCAGCCAGTGCTTGTGTCAGCATCCAAACAAAAGAGAAACTTTCAGAAATAAAGAGCTGGTTCAAAGCAGAACCAGATGGCTCAGGGGGATCTGTAATGCAGTACACAGCGATTCAAGACTACATCACTGGTCTGAATCCAAACTAGGTCAGTGCTGACCAAGAACTTATCATCCAAAAGCTGTTCAGTAACAGATGTGAAGCAAGTGGTTTCCTTCAGCTGCCCATATTATGAATGTTACCAAATTGCTCTTTTATGGCAGTCCCATCACACAGGCAGAGAACTGAATGGCATCAGACACACATGCTCACACCCTGCCTTCTGATGGAGGGCCAAGGCCACAGTGGTTTTCCTTTGCATATAGGAGACATGCATTGCACCTGCCCAAGTAGTAAACTCTTCCAAGGAGAGAGGTCTTCAGTCTCCATGGCTTTTATTAATCTGGCAGCCGTCACCAGACCTACATACACTATTGAAGACATCCATCCAATCTATAGTTTCCATTTACAGGATTGTGGGGTTTTGATTTTAAAGTAAAGAGGCAGAAGCTAGTGCTGCACGAAAGATGAAGACCAAGGATGCATACAGCAAGTATTCACCAGGGGAAGTTAGTTAACTAAGAGAACCCCTGGACCAATGGCACACACAGGAGAGGTTCCGTTCTAGAGATGGTCTAGGGTATTGTAGCAATTCCGTTGCTAATGACTAGGCGCAAGTCCGAGCACTAGCATAGGGAAACCGAAAAGAAAGGGGCCCGGGATGTTATAACTTGAACATTTCCTTTGAGCAGGAAGGCCAGAAAGACAAAATTCTGGTCAGTTCAGGCTCTTGTCCTGTGCCCCTCCCCATGGTATCCAAGTGTTTGAGACACAGCATGCAGCTTTAACTAAGGGACCACACAAGAGAACTGGAGTGCTCATTCCCTCCTACCCCAAGCCTCTGGGGTCTCAATACAGAAGTTAGCCTCTGTTCAACCTTATGTTAATGCTGGATAAAGCCTTTACAGCTGTCTCAGCTGTACTACTGTACTTCTCTGTAATCGGTCTTCAAAACAAAAAAAAAATCGAATAAGGGTGATTTTTCCAGGGTGAAGTCTGGGGGAAATAATCTAAAGGAAAAGCAGCAAATCACACTGGGCTAAGAGGAGAAATGAAAGTAGTTTGAAATAATCACGCATATCCACATCTGTCACATCAGGCAGACAACCTAATCAGAGATGAAGAAGCTTTTATTTCTCTTCTCAGCTTTGTTAGTGTTTGCTTTTTTGATTTAGGGCGACAATAGAAGACATTGCTACAACAATCTTCTTTGAACAAATAAACAGTTTTTTGCAGGATATGGGAAAAGACTGGTTCTTGTTAGCTCAGAAGGAAGAAACATTTTCTGGAGTTTTGCGAGACTCACAGCTTCAGCAGCTCAGTAGCCTTCAAGCTGACTAGCTCCACAATAATTAACAAGCAGCTGTGCAAAGGGAGACCTACTACAAGACATTTCAGGCAACATTAGGTTTAATCTGCCAGTTAATAAATGAAAAAAAAATAAAAACGGAATGATTAAGTCAGCACTGACAAGGATACTTCTCTACCAGTGCTTTCACTGAAACCAAGAATAGCTGAGAAGGACAAGGATAAGTCAGGAGTCCTAAATTGGTGTAAGAGACAGTAGGACCACCTCCATGATTTGGGGGAAGCTAATGATTAAGACTGCGAGTTTGTCATGGCTTCCATGACTTTCCGTGATCTTCATGACTTCTACAGCGGCCGGTGTGCCTGGCTCAGGGGCAGCTCCTGCACCAGGAGCAGGAGGAGGTATCTCTTGGCAGAGAGGAGGAGGTGGGGGGGGAGCTGCCCCCAGGACTGCCCCAACTCTGGGTAAGACACTGCAGTTTGAGGGGGCAAAACCCTTGTGGCCACCCAACCCACGGGCTTCTGCCCACGGGAAGTGCTGAGGCTCCCAGCTTCAGCCCCACGCTACTCCTAGCTTCAGATCGGGGGGTTCGCCAAGGCTCCCAGCTTCAGCCCTGTGCCACACCCCACTTCAGCCCCACAGGGGGCACCAGGGCTTAAGGCTTCAGCCGCAGGGCCTATGGCTGCCCCTGAAAGGGCTCACGGACCCCCGATTGAGAACTGCTGCTCTAGTGGCCATCCAGTTGCACAGGTGAGTAGGCAGACATAATCGAAGCCAAAATGGCTTGCCACAGTCACACAAGTTCCTGTCCACACTGTGCTGCTCAGGCACAAATCTTAGCTCATGTGTTGACCTGAGTGCAGCTGGATGGCCAGTGCCAATGAGAACTGATTTCTATTACCAAAACTCATTTTAAAAGATGAAAATTAGCTTGAGAGCAAGAGGTGTTTATCAGCAGAGACCATCACTGATTACCTGTGATTAACAGAAAGTGTCAGGAAACTGTAATCACCAGGTGCCAAAAACATGACAAAACAGCATTGATTAGATATTGCAGAATAAGAAGTTCAGCCTGTGAGTCTTGACAAACACCATGACTTCAAATTTCTGATCTAACAAAAAGCTCAAGTTACTGGCTGACAATACGACACAGATGTCTGCTTTGAAAGTAAGTACAAGGTCTTTGAGTATTCCTGCCCTACCCCCCACATGCGAAGGTGTACCTTTTCTGGAGCCTGGGTATTCAAACTAGATGCCTAGGAATATTTGTGGTGAGACTTATGTGGATAAATTCTTACTGTGAAAAGTCCATGTCTTTCAGCTTCCCCATTTCTTGCTGGTGTTTTTCCTGGAATTCCTTTGCTGCTTCTTCCTGCATTGAAACATCCCAGAGACACACTAAGTTTTATGTACAGCAGTAACTCATGTATTACAAGGTAGTCTCCTAGGTCAGAAATTACAACTCTCCTCCCTTCCAAAAGGCAATACGCCCAACAAAAAAACCCCCGCAAGCTCTGAATTGTATGTTTCCCAACAACTCTTCCCGTTTTAATTGTTTTTTGTAGCTGCATTGTAACATAAAATGCAAAGGTGAGGCTAGGAGGATTGGAGCACCACAGTATAAGGAGAAACATAAGCACAAAAATAATGAAGCATTAAAAGGCACAGTTAAAGCTTTCAAAGTTCCATAACTACCATAACAGGACACGTATGTTACGCACTCCCTATACTGGAAGAAATCCAGCTTACGAGACTCCTAAGTTAGAGAAAACCCTCAAAGAGGTCTGATGTGCATACTGGAAGTTTTAGTAGCAAGATTATTATTACCAAGTCCTCATTTAAAGATTTCAGGGTTGGCTCCATTACAACTTCCTTTGTTACTGCCATCTGCGCCTCCACAGCCTTCTCCTGGATCCTGCTGAACAGCTGACGAGGGAATAAATTAATATGTGATGGTGCTACTGGTGTTTTCCCACAGAGGTGCTTTAAAAATGAACGGAGTTTGGCTGCCCACTAGGGAACTTCTGTAGTCTTTGAAATATGAACAAGGAATTAGGTTTTTTGTTTGTTTGGGTGTTTTTTTTTTGGGCTGTTTAACTGGTCATTTTGTGTGAAAAAATGAAACTCAACGGCCACTTCTTGAAAGCAGAAGCAAAGACAGCTTAATAAGAAAATAAATCAGTCATCCAATGTCACTTGCACGAATGTGAGAGCTGGTGATTTAAAAACACCCCCCACTTAGGCAAACCCAACTAAACCATTAATCTGTGGAGGACAGCACTACAGATTTCCTTTTTTATAGTCATTCCTTCTCATCAACTAAAAGAATTCTATGCTGAGCAAGCCATCTGTAAAGCAACGGACTTGCATTTTAGGATGCAGAAGCTCTGCCTATTCAATCGTTCCATTAACTTGCTCAGGGGACTGGAAAATGGATAGGAGCCTTTTATTCTTATGGCACCAGTTTGAATCTAGCCCATGTTATTACTGGATGAAAGTATTACCCACTTGATAATGATCTAAATGAAAGGAGTTGGTGGCCCAAGTCAAATTCCTCACGGACAGCCATCCACCACCACAGCGGACACCCTTGCTGTCAGCCTCATCAGGGAGATCGAGGAGACTGGAGGCCTGACCTAGAGCCTTTCCTGGATATCTACAGGCTTCAGCTCTGTCCTACGGTGACCCTAGAGATGAGCATTCTAAGGTAGATTGAGACACTGAGCCTGGACTGTTGTATCAGCTTCCTCACCACCTTGCTTAGCGGACATTAGAGCCCGAAGCCTCCTGCCTTCAGCACCTTTCACCATTTGAAATTAAACAAAATATACATATTGCATGGGGGAGCGTACAACAGAAATCACCACCAATGTTTGCCACCAAGTACAAGACATTTCTTTACAATGAGCTTCTAATGATTTCTTAGAGACAGGTTGAGGATACAGGATTCTGATCCAGATTTCTCATACTACAAGGCTCAGGCCTGGGACGGCACTGGGCCCAACTTGAGAGAGCAAAGCTGGACCATGATGCAATTACCTGAACGAACTTGCGGATGATCCTATTGAAGAGGCCCATCAGCTGACTGCTGGGCAGTTCTATCTCTTTTTCCAGCACATCCATGGATTTGTGTTGCAGACCAATCCCCAGAAGAAGGGCCTGGAGAATAAGATTTTTATTTCTTTTTTAAACCCACAAAAGTTAGGTTCTTCCCCACCTCCGTAGATGTTACCATTAAAGTTACTGGTCCAGCAAAATAATACAAAGCACAACAGGTGAAGGGGTTCAGAGTTTTGTATGACGCATTGGAACTTCCCCAAATTGCTCCATTCTTGATGGGCATCACTACATGTTTAGTCCAGCAGTGCCTCTTGCTCTGGTTTGGGGCTTTTAGCTAGCATTTACACAGCACTTTAAGCGTACCTAGTCCTTTGCACCATGTGTAAGAGAACAGGGTCCCTACAATCAGATTCAAAGCAAACACAAAACATGGGAGACCAGTACAGGCAGGAGACAGCACAGCGAGGAATGCAGAAGAGGCAGTCAGCTGAAGTTTTGGAGATATGAAAGAGGTGAGGAATAGGAATGTGGCATGTGAAGCGGGAGTGTGTTCCGAGAACAGGAGGTGGTACAAAAGCAGACAGAAGGCAAGACTCTCTTACTCCCAAAGGGAGAAGTTAGACTAAACAACAGCACGAAATAAGAGCCAAGATGTAGGCAGGGATAGAATTACATAGGAGTGAGTTACTCGCTCCAGAAATATTGACGCGACTTGGTCTCAACAGGGAAGGAAGGAGGTGGTAATGAATGCAAACGGTACATACAGACTGCGCAGCAGAGAGGGATGTGTCTCCTAGCTGGCTTAGAAAGTACATCCTGGAGACAGCGGGAATTGTGTCCATGATCAGGTGATAGTCCACCATGTTTCGAGAGTACATCTCTAACCGCTTCAGGTCATAGGGGATGAACACAGCTTCCAGTTCAGGACGGCTGATTGCTGAGCAAATCAAAAATAGCAGTATTAGAATTGCACTCCATGTTTCTTCAGGATCTGGATAATCAAGCTCACTTTTCATATCAATTGCCTGTGTGCTAACATATTTGCTTTGAAATGTATACATGAACTAAACAATAGTGGATCTAACTGAATCCTCAACTGGACTAGTCATGCAAACTCTCTGAATGAATTTTAATATTAAATAAAAGCCTGTGTAGGGGACAGACTCCTCACAACTACCTTTCATGATTCCCACTCCTAGGCAAACAGTTGGCCATGGAGACTGGACTCCTCCTCTTACTCTACACAAGGGCTGAGGCACATAGGTAGGGAAGCTTGCACCTCCTCTGCCCACACTGTCGCTGTCCTCTGACAGAGGGGGTTGGCAGCTTTCACTAGGAACAAAATATTAAATAAAAACAAAACATCGAACCAGACTAATTCCTGTGTTCCCTTGAGAGATCTCGAGCTTGTTACGTTCAAGAAACCACAGTTTGCTTTCATAGATTTTTAAGTCAGAAGGGACCATTGTGATCATCTAGTCTGACCTCCCATATTCCACAGGTCACAATTCCTGCATCAATAACTTGTAGTTGAATTAGAATGTCTCTCTCAGAAAGACATCCAATTCAGGTATAAAGACTTAAAGTGATGAGATCTCCACCACAGCCCAAACTTAAACTGTTCCAGCAGTTAGTTGCCCTCACTGTGAAAAGTGGGTGCCTTAAGTCCACAGTTTGACTTTGCCTAGTTTCAACTTCCAGTCATTGGATCTTGCTATGCATTTGTCTGCTAAATGAAAGAGCCCTCTAGTTTCAGAGCATTTGCAAAACTTTGATCAAGTAGAGCTCTCTGATCTCAGCTATCAGGGAGACAGTACTGGAAGCTTTCACTCAACAATAAGCATATTTTTAAGATGAAGGGAGCAAACAGAACTGACCAACAGGGAATTGTAGCATTCTACTAAAGGCTGTAGAACATTCACAGGTTTCATTTAATAACCTTTTTGATAAACCACATTAAGATCTTAAGCCACTGAAAGGATTTTAAAAGCCTAGAAACTCACGGGGTTGCAACTCCTGCTTGATATTCTTGTTCTGTAGAATGTTCAATGCTAATGAAGGTGGGAAAGTGCTGAACTGATATGACAGCAGAGACAGGAACCGCCTCCTGAAATCTTCAGGACAAGAAGAGAAGATAATGGTTACCAGCCAGGTTGTGCAAAGGATACATGGAGGCTTCCTCTCACACTAGGACAGACAACCAGCTGTTACCTTTCCAGAAGGCAGCGAGCCAGTGCTCCTGTTCACTCTCTTCCTCATTCAGCATCTTCAGCATGATACAGGAGTGCTCACCAGTCAGGTCATTCTAGGAAGGAAGACAGATTCCCATGATCCCTGGTACTCACTGTTTGCATTATGTACTGAAGTGACAAAAGTAAAGACAGGTGTTGTAATATAATTAAAAACACTGGAGTCCCTCTTACCCAATTTCTTGCATGGACACGAGTTGTATTAAAAGTCACTGACCATCATTATTGAATTTATATCCCACCAGCCTTGGGGATTTAATAAATTCCACAGAAGGGCCTTTTTTTCTGGCTATTACTTAGTGAGCCAAAAATCTCAGCTACCACTCAAGAGTCAGAAAAACAAATGCAAGATGGCGCAATGACATAGGAAACTTAACACCTGCTGTCAGACAAGACTTACTCTAAGTGACTGGCTTTGATTTGCAGTTCTGGCATCTAACTAGCTCATGAGAGGGGATTTTGATATGACAGTAGCAGAATTGTGATATGGTGATGGGGTTTGACTTCATTCTAAAAACTTCTTTTCTATTAAGGTCTAGATTGTGTGAATTACGTACACAGAAGCATGTGCACATCATTTCCATTCAAAACTACTGCAGCTGCATCACAAGTGTGGCAAATGCATAGGCAAATAACCAGCCAGCTGTCTACCTAGCCATTTGCACACACTGGCCTGGGGTACCTACATGGGCATTAGCCTTAAGTTGTTAAGCAGAGTAAACAGCTAAAAGATATTACAGATGGTCACTACTCTTCTTCCCAACACTAAAATATGTTAGGTCAGTTATTAGTGATCCATAAACCCACAAGACAAAAAAGACGATACAACAAACTCTAACACTTATAATGAAAGTTTCAAAAGCACCTAGGTGCCTAACTCCCAATGATTTGCTGAGGTGCTTCTGAAAAATCCCACAATGCAAATCCCATCAGAGTCTGTGGAAAGGCTTTCACTAACGTCAGTGGGAGCTCGATCAGGTTCTTGAAACAGTAGGATACTTACTGGAGTCTGCCTTAGGTAAACTGGTACAAATCCAGCACGTTTCCAAAATCTGGTTGGGGAGGAAGGGAAGAGGAAAAAGTACACGCTGGAAATTATTGAGATGTTAACGCTGCAGTAGTAGTTGTGACAGCAGTCCTATCCTGATTGTGGAGCAAAGTTCATATGGCATCACAGTAAACTTGTAACAAATAATGTTGATCAAAAGGGCATGAAAAGGGGCTACTAATATAGACCAGACTTAGATACTAACTTGTGAACAAAAAGATTATGACATCAGAAAGTGGATAAGATTCATGTGTCAGAAATAAGGGTTAATTGGTGGACACAATAATAAGGGGATGGCCTTTCCACCAAATTAAAAACAACAAACAAAAAAAACCAACAGACTTCAGTGAACAAAAACATGGACTCCTGGGAGATTTCCTCAAGGAAGGCCAAAGGGCCTCTGCTTCGCACCAGACACTCTGCCCTTCATCTGTGAACCTGGAGACTCCTCAGAGATTTCCAGACCTCAACACATCAGTGAGGGCACCAGATTATCATTGCTGGACCCGAGATTATCCCAGACTGATACATGCAAGATCCTGCTGTCTTGCCATTCTCTTCCTCCCAGCCCAAAACTACTACTATCTTCTTCCTATCCTTTCCCCCTACACCCGTGGCTCCTGACCTGATCTGTGATAGCCCTGCCTAGCCTTAGAAGGACCAGTGAAAAAGGAACCTGCTGGACCAGATAGCATTCCAGATGAGGGAAGCAAGTCAGGGTCGAGAGCAGCACCTGTCATGGCCAACCTGCCCACCCAGAGCACACATTCATAGATACTAAGGTCAGAAGGGACTATTATGATCATCTAGTCTGACCTCCTGCACAACGCAGGCCACAGAATCTCACCCACCCACTCCTGCGAAAACCCTCTCACCTATGTCTGAGCTACTGAAGTCCTCAAATGGTGGTTTAAAGACTTCAAGGAGCAGAGAATCCTCCAGCAAGTGGCCCGTGCCCCATGCTACAGAGGAAGGTGAAAAGCCTCCAGGGCCTCTTCCAATCTGCCCTGGAGGAAAATTCCTTCCCGACCCCAAATATGGCGATCAGCTAAACCCTGAGCATATCGGCAAGATTCACCAGCCAGATACTACAGAAAATTCTTTCCTGGGTAATTCAGATCCCACCCCATCTAACATCCCATCACAGGCCTATTTACCATGAATATTTAAAAATCACTTAATTACCAAAATCATGTTATCCCATCATACCATCTCCTCCATAAACTTATCGAGTTTAATCTTAAAGCCAGATAGATCTTTTGCCCCCACTGCCTCCCTTGGAAGGCTATTCCAAAATTTCACTCCTCTGATGGTTAGAAACCTTCGTCTAATTGCAAGTCTAAATTTCCTGATGGCCATTTTATATCCATTTGTTCTTGTGTCATTCATGACTCATCAGCTGCACTGGATCTTGTAAATTTTAGCAGGAAGCTGTACTTTTCCCACCTTTCACTATCCTTTTTCACTCCTCTCACATCTGTCTGTTTTGTCAAAAGCAGCAATAATGACAAGCACCAACAGCTGAGTTTAAAAGACTAGATTTTTCCCCATGAGAAGGGCTGTTTGACAAAACAAAGGAGTTTAACCAACATCCTCTCTGAAAACGGCATTTTGCTAAGTTTTGGCTAAGATAGAATGGTAATGCATGAACAACTTTATATACTTTATATTTTGGATTCTTCTGCATAGCCAATCAATAAACTTCCAGATTATGGCATGAATTTCACAGTACTTGCTCCATGGAATTAAGCAGGGTGGAGAGTCTATACTCAGAACCCCAAACTACAAATAGCTGTTTAATACTGCACTTTGCCAGTGTCATATTAACACCTTTAACTTCCTGGACCCACTTATTTCATGCAACAGCATCCTTGGACTTGCACAGCACCACAGATCTGCTTTGCAGTGGAACTGGGGCAGTCTGGCCATACAAGAACCAGAGCTTGAGATGGTAAATGGTCTAGCAAAGAAGGGAGAGCTCTGCATTACTCTGAAGGGCTCCCAAAGTAGTTGCATACAGCCATCCTGAACTGTAAGTACAGATCCCACCACAGGGGGGCATGGAGCTGTGCCAGATTTGAAACAGGAAATGGAATTACGAGCAAGGGAAACCTGAACAGGTATCAGGACCCAAGTGCTATGATACATTCATCTGTAGGGGCTCCCCCCAACCACATTTAGTATAGATCAGCAGTCCTCAAACTTTAGCAACCCCAAGACCCCCATTCTGATTTAAAATTTTTCACAGACCCCCCCAATCCTCCCCACTCAGCCCCAGGCCTCGCCCCCACTCCACCCCTCTTCCCAAGGCCCCACCCCTCCTCTTCCCTGCCTCTTTCCACCTCCCTCCCCCGAGCACATCCCCTCCCAACGCCTTCTGCACACCACTGAACAGCTGTTCTCCGGCCTTCAGGATGAGCTTGGAGGGAGGGGGAGGAGTTGATCAGTGGGACCCACGGACCCCCTGGAGAACCCTGGGGGGTCCACGGACCACAGTTTGAGAAACGCTGGTATAGATGACAAATATGGTTACACTCTTACTTGAGCAGCTTTGGTGTCAAACCATAAGATACCCCCAGATAGTCTAGATTCTCCGCTTGTCGCTCACTCAGTTTGAGAAGTAAAGGAGGCAAGTCCTTCCGAGGTGTCACAGCCTCTTCTAACAAACTGACAGCCTGGAGAGAAGAGAGGGAAAAAGTGCAGCCAAGTGAGCAGGTGAACAACAGTCTTCACAGTGACTACAGATTAAATCTCTCAAAAGCTACAAATGTGGAAGGACATATGGGACACTCAGCTACTGAGGGTTCCACCATATAGTCCAATACAAACTGAATAGCCTAAAACAGCAGTACATAGCACTTTATACCTCACTGCTTATGGTAGTAATTCCTTTTGGCTTCGGAGTCATTTTTTCTTCCAGGCAAGGGAATTTGCCTTCATAGTACATTTGCAGTAAGGTCAGAGCCCTGCTGCCATAACCCATCTGCGAAAGAGGAGGGAAATTTAAAACAAAGGAAAATACATTAAAAAGTTCTTAAAACTGTGTGTGTTTTTTTTTTTTTTAAAGAAGATTCATTATCCCATCACTAATGCATCACAAAAGTATCACATTTATAAAACCCCTTTCACCCTGAAGAGGGCGCATTCAGTTTACAGACGACCTACACTAGTATCACTCAGCCACTATGAAAATGTATCTGCTGCTTACATACCTAACAGCTTATAGAAGGGGAAGTGGAGGATGCATTGTTCAACTGAAGCTACCGCCAGATGTTTAGGGCACAATCCTGCAGCTGTCAGATTAGTAACCCACCAAAATCATGGTACTTGCTGAGGTACAGTCTGGAAGATGGGACCCAAAGGTAGGCAGAAGGAATGACCCCCAGAAGGCAGCATCCAGGACACCAGGGTTAACAGCCCTAGTCTCACAAGAAATTCATGGGCTCTGATGCTTCGTATCACATCTCCAGCAGCAAAGCGCTGCCCAGCAAGATGCTGGGGACATTGGTTTGGTACTACCCCGAAGGAGGACAATTCCCCTACACTTGCTGCAGAAGTTGAGCTTTCATTGGAAGTCTCCCACCCAAATAATGGTCAGGCCTCATTCGGATCATCTTGTGAGAGCAGATGAGGTGGTCCCACTGCTGGCTACCTATAATCACAGAATGCTGGAATACATTACCCCTTGATAATCAGGGTGGACTGCAATGCGAACAACACGTCCACCCGAGAGGCTCCCAAAGTCTGGATCTTGGAACTGCATGCGAAATACAAGTCATATTAAAGAAAAAAATAGTAGGAATGTTCAGAATATCAAATCAGCACTTACACACACACACCCCCCACCACCACCCGAACATAACCAAATAGCCAAATGACTTACCTGCTCTGAGACAGTCCATGGAATAAGATCTCCTGAAGCCTTCCTCCCCCTAGACAGACTGTTCATGATAGACTGGCGAGAGATCTCTCCCTCCAGACACACCTGCCAAGAGAAAGAAGGAAAGGTTGTGAACAGAGAAAGAGGTTTAGTCCCTTACTAGCGCTGCCCATTGCAGAAGCACACAGATAGAAAACATTTGGTCAGTCATCTAACCTACCATCTATACTGTGGGAGAACCTGAAGCTTACCAGGACCCTCTTCTGCTGGAGGTTGTACAAACACATAGTACAACAAGCGACCGGCCCGGACCTAAAAACATTCAGTCTAAAAAGATAAGGTATAAGCAGGCAGGGATGGGAGAAGGACAGTGTAACAAAGACTGTAGGTAGGCTTGGAAGGATTAGGTTTTTATCTGTAAACATTGATTTCACAAACCGACAAAAATATTTCCATCAATAGTAATTGAAGCTGGCAAAGAAATATGTTGCTTGAGAACATCAGAGTTTGATTTAAGGATATTTACTTTGCATATTTCAGTGTGTGTTGACAACAGTTTGGGTTTTAACAGTTATAAAGCTTTAAACTTTTTAATCCCAGTATCTACTATTAGTAAATAATTATTGTCTGACTCCCCAATTTTTTACCCCCCCCCCACCATTTTCACACAACTGTGAAAATTTAAATTGAAAAAAATATAAAATGTTTAAAAATAAACATTGATAATAGCCTGTCAACTTTAATTACAACATGCTTTAGCAAAGACTACCTATATGCACAATCTATAGCTCATCAGCAGTAGCTAACCAGTACTTACCACCTGCCTAGCCAGTTTCACTCTGAGATTTTCCCTCATTTCTCCTCTTAGGATGGGCCTGTTCCCTACTGTAGATTGTGAATTTACTAGCATGTATTGCCCTGGTGATCATTACCTTGATTACTGGCACTTAATGAGTCAGGGAGGCAGAAGAGTTGCATACTTATATAGAAATGCTCATGTTAGTTGAGAACTGCAAATAAGATGTAAGAAGGTCCAATATCAATGCACCACAATTCAGTCATCTCCTAATCAGTTCGTATTTGTGCAGGACTATACAAGTGCTATGAAGTAACAGGAATACAGGGGACATTGGAGAAGTAATACAATCAACTCTCCCCAGGGGAAGAGGTTGCTGTGACCAGTATTTAGGCTTCTCAGCAGGCCTGCAGCACGAATGTATTCCTTAGGTTGTAAGCGCTGGGTGAAAGGGACAGTGTCCTTGTATATTTGTACAGAAGCTAGCACAACAGGGCCCTGATTAAAGCTTCTGGGCACTAGTATAACACACACAAAACTGAAATTACTATATAGTTCTACAGATATGAGCCACTGTCACATCCTGCCACTGCATCCTTATTGAGTGGTTCTGTATTCACACACACTTTCTGTTTCTTACCTGAACAACAGCAAGTACTTCTGGCAAGGAATTCTGGGTAGGTGGGACTGGTGGCAGAAGGCAGAAGAGATGATGAGCAGGAGCATCTGAAAGCATCTGGAGGTCATTGGGAGAATTCTAGAGGGCCATAAAACAAACAAGTTACAGCACTAATTCTCTGTCAGCTATAGTTAAGTGTTAGCGAGACGGGTGCCTGTGTATCTGCAGACCAACAATCCTAGAGACTCTCTGCAGTTACGAGGGGAGAGTTTCAAAGTTCTACCACAAAGATAGCAATTACTTAGAGTTTAACGCTACTATAAATCCTGCGTCTCCCTCCTGTGAATTTGGATATGGCAAAAACCTTGGCGTAATACAGATAGCTAAAGAAACTCTCAAAACAATTCAAGGCTATCAATCCTAGACTACATTATTTGGATTAGATTATCTATCAATCTACAGGTACATTTTATTACTATTTTTAAATTAAATTTAAGGCCATTCAAAAAACCAGTTCTTATTTAATGCAATAAACGCTACTGAAGACTGTTCATCACCTACACTTCTCTCCCCTATATAATTCAGCAACTGCAACGGGCATATCTAAGACTTGGTCTCCTGGATTTCACAGCCAGGAATCAGTATTAACCCATGATGGGATAGTGCCTGTTGGGTGAGGAGGGAACTGGGAAGACAGTGATGTACCAAGCTAGAAGCTGGGTATGGAGTTCGGCTGTCAGGACACAAAAAGGCTATTGAGTTATCAGTCCACTAAAGCTTTCTCAATTTGACCTCTTTAAAACGGCAGAGATTTCTCCCCTACATCCCAGCTGACAGGGCAGTGTCACTACCTTGTAGTGTGAAGCCACGTAGAGAGCCATCAGCCTCTGGAGAAAAATTTCCGACGCTTTGTGATAACAAAAGAGGGTGTCTCTGTTCACATAATATCTAAGTACGGTGATCAAGGAAACAACCAAAGCCAAAAGACACATCCCCTGTTGATTTATCCCAGCCTGAGGTGATTTTCCATATAGTATCACCGTATGAGCTGGCTCAGTGCCTTTATACTCCGCCTGCATCAGCCGGACAAGGAACACAGATTCCTCATTCTTTAAGTTATTGCTGTCAAAAGACTTCAGCATCAGGGCTTTGGACAGTCTTCACGTCTGACCGCATACCCCCTTTTAAGCACATCAATTAGGAAAGAAATCACATAATTTTGACCATCTCCCTCGCTCAAAACCTTCGTTACAATGCACCACTCTTCTTTGAAGCTCATCAATGGTAATAAAACACTGACAGCCCACCCCTTAAAAAAAAAAAAAAGATCCCATGCTAGGAGTTTGAGCCCAGAAGACTGGCCTGAGTGCACTTTAATTAGATCCTGCACTGAGAAGCGCCTGGGTGGACCCGGTATCTGCACAGAGCCCTACTGATATCAACAGGCTGGTCAATGGGCCAGTGCAGAATTGGGGCCTTAGACTGTAGCTTCTTCCTAGGAACAGCGCCTTTCCCATGCTTGTTAAGTCCACTCAGCTTTCTCAGCACTGCACAAGAATGTCAGATTTGTTCATTATTTTAACATTTTTAGAACATTTACGTATCTATTTCTCAAAGTGCCTAGCGAGTCTGCTCATCCCCACCAAGGAACACACCCTTCAGCTTCAGTGGGCTCTGGAGCATATTCCTGTCATACAGGGTGCTTCATCCATTACTGAAGAGGAGAGCTAGACTGAAATGTGCAGACCAATATAAATAAGCAGAATTATAAGCTGTGCTAAAGAAAACAGAAATCGAGGAGAGAGTATCACCTCCAACCTCTCAGTAATAGCATATAAATTGCTGTTAGTCTCTTCTGAAAGAGCTCACTTTACCCTGCCACAGCTGGACGTAAATTATTTAGAACATGCGTTAATTTCAGCCAGGATACAGGTCACAGGTTTCAGGCAGCGGGCAGCCAGAGATGATCCTGGTGATGTTGAGACAATCCAAACATAGCAGGTCATTGAGCCATTTTTCAACAGGGTCTCCAGGGGCATATCGGATTGACTCTTGAAGGGAGACTTCATGCAATGTACGAGCTGGAAGGAGAGATTCAAAAGAAAAACCACAACATGTCTGAAGTGACAAATACTGAAGATGCCAACAGGATCAGGCCCTTCAACAGCTTTGGTACAAAAGACTGAAAGTGGTAAACCACCTACTTCCCCACCAAACCACCAAAAATTGGACACTTAAGCCTATTTCCACATAGAATCAAGGTAGTTAGATTGATCAGGTGAAGTCCATGCCCCTACAAGTGTGTTACATTTCAGAAGGTGAGAAATTGAAAATATTAAGCCTAGAGGCCAAGTTACAAGTCAAGCTTCTTTAAAGCTTCCTGCATGTTCCTCCACCCCCACTCTCCACTTGAAGCTGCAGAAATCCAAGTACGCAAGCACCAAGGATTGTATAGGGTGCAAGTCAACAGCAGTCATATTGCTGGTTAGATACTCCTATTCAGAGATGTCAGCATGGGGAGGTACCTGAGGCGAGTTTAGCCGTAGCTGTAGATTTGTTCTCTGCGGTCATGCTGGCTTGTGCCTGTACACTCTGCTGCCGGAGCTGCTGAATCAGCTTCAGGGACAACGACCGACCAGTGCCCTCATAACTACAAGATTAGAGATCAAAGAGAAGCAAGTAAAATGAGGCTGAAACAAAACCCCAGAAGTAGTGTGGGGAAGCTCCGATCTAAAATCGGATTTTATCTACAGGCTTTAGATGTGTTCTGGTGCCATGTGCCATTACTAGGTCCCTTATGGCCTCACTGTTGGTACAAGCTGCAGGAAGAAGCCAAAACGCAGTGGCAAGGGGACAAATGCCTCGCAAAGATGCTGCGCATGTGACACTGACTGATCAAAGGACTTTACTCCCACACAAACTGCTTCACCTGACACTGAAATGCAGCTGTTTGCAGGGTGAAAGATGGCAGCTCTTTCAGAGCACTACAGTGATGTGACAAGAAGTGACTAAATTTCTGGCAGAAACATAAGGGGAATTTAAACAGGCAGGTACAATAACCTATACTGGACTATAGCCAGAATGCTGGAATTTTCTTAATCCCCTTTTGTTCAGAAGGTGGCTGCTCTCCACAAACCTTACACAGTCACTCCTCCTAACAGACTTCAGCATCATGCTTAAACATTTGCTCCTTGTACAGGCACGGAACAGAGCATGTCTTCTCTGGGGACAGGCAATTAATAGGAGGCTGGACTACTAAGTGACCCATAGAAGAGAATGAAGACAACAGTCAATTCAAAGGCAGCCATTAGACAGGGCGGTTATACAAAAGGGTCAGTACTAACAGAAAGAGTGTAAAGGCTGACCTGAATGAGAGCAGTAAATCTGCAGGGTCCTACAAGAAACTGCCCTTGCTGTTTGTTTTCCAGACAAGCAGGCCTGCGTGAGTCTCTTACCCATTGATCGTAGAAGCCATAAAGACAAGGTAAGGCCCCAGCAGGTTCTTCACCAGAGGTAGGGGGATAGCAGCAGCTTCATCAATCACCACAAGTTCAGCCTGGCCCAGTTTCACAGCATCGGCGGGATGTATGTACTGCAAGGAGCGAAGTCCCATTTTACTAAGGTAATCCCTATCCAGAGCAGCTGTCTGGGAGTTGGGGAGACTTCAAAGGAGGCAAAAGCTGCAGCCCTATAGAAGCAGTTTCCTTCTAAGGTCCCAGTCTCTGATTAGAGAGAAATGGAGTGCAGGCACTGTGGTAAACTAGTTGGGTGAACTTTAGTGACAATCCAGGGAGGAGGAATAGCAGGTCATATGCTTTGTTATGTCTATGGAGCCACAAAAGCACTTTATTTGTATCAGATTAGGTCTCCTTCATTTTTCCAGTCTGCTATACATTTGTGCTCCTTCCCCACACTTTTCTGGGCATTATTATAACACATACCAAAAGACAAGCATGTGCAAATCCAAGTGAAGATCCTTGACTTACTAGATCTCCACAGAGCTAGATGAATAGCTTCCCTTGTGGAACCCAGGGATCCGGAAGCAATTTGCCTCCTCTAACCTGTTTGAATACACGAGGGTGTGTAACATTATTACACATTATGTAAAATGAACACACTTAAGATTAAAAACGTAAGCGATATGCTATACTTCCAGTGGCCATGAATAGGAAATAGTGAGGCTGGAGAAGAGACATGCAGGTTAATTACCTGGATAGTCTGTCTGTGCTCCTTGAACACATTCACTCTGACGACTGCTTTATTAAACTCAGGGTTCAGAGACTGAATAATCTCATAGTCCAGATGTTCCTGAAGGAAGAGATTAAATAAAATGAAGATGCAAGAGCTAACAGAACAGCAGGTTGTGAGAAAAACAAAGTGTTTTTCAAATCTTTCATTCAGATTCTCACTTGCACTCCTGAGGATCAGTTTATTTGCACAGAAATTCTGTCAAGAAAGCCTCAACCTGGATAAACCTACCTGTATTCCTAAAGTGAAAACAGTATTAAAAATATAATAGCACTTTGTTCCCTTTCGCCCATTCAATGAGATCCATCAGACAGCTGGTTTCTCCAACACTTGCAAAGTTCATGGAGTAGCAGATCCACAAATAAATTCCATTTCTTAGCAAAGAAGCAGTCATCTATTTAATCTATTTCACTTGTATTCCTAGCATTTACTTTAAATTGAGGGCCCTAAATGAAAATCTTGTATTAAAAGCAATATCCTTTTCCTTATGCAAAGAAATCTAGTTTCACAATATTTCTGATTTACAAATACTGAATGTAAACTATCAGCGCACTCTGATTCACTATGTACTTCTGAAAAGCATTATCAAGGCTTTTAGGAGCAAACAGCCTCTGGCTAAAAAGGTATCATTTTTAAAATAATCACGTAAAAGCCAAAATGAGAAATGCAGTTTTAAATCCCTAACTAAACATGATTCTATGAAACCACTGTAAAAGCCTGCTCTCCTTACCTGGTACTGCAGTGCATCAAAGCCTTTAAATACAAACTCAAATAGTGTGTGAAGGTTATCTGGACTGGGAGATGTCACAAAGATGTTGGAGTAACTGTTGAGGAAACAAAACAGGGTTTTAAATCCTTTTATCCAAAGCAGTGCAAACGATCCAGTTTATATTATACAGAGCATGTAAGACATTATAAAACACTGAAATTTAACATATACAAAGCATCTTAAACCATAAAGAGTTTATATAAGGCAGCTTTATACTGTAATAGATAGCAACAATTAAAGAGAAACATTCTTTCTACCACAGCTATAGGATACTTCTGTGTGTGTACCACTACACCAAAGCATTCAGCAGCACATGCTTCTCTACTCCTGCATTCAACACTTACTTCTCCTGAAATGCCCACAAGTAGGAATCCTAAAAGTATTTTCAAAATTAGTTTTCCCAGTGGGGTCTCCAGTGCATCCTGTCCGCTCCATCTCACCTTTTTGACTATAAGCTGTATGGTCCAATGGCCATCTTCATTTTGTACCAAACAGCATTTGTCAGATCAATAATAAATCATCATCTACCCTTAAGTTCTTTTTACTGTTAACAAGAATTACACGATCTACCCTTCCATGAACGAACCCATATCAGGGACTAAAGCAAATTATTTAATGTATTGTAATATCCCCATCACTATATCAGGATGAGACTGGCTACTTAAAAATGACTATTTTGGACATATACTAAGTGCTTTTATTTGTAAAACAAGCAAATCAATATTCTCAGATATCTAATAAAACTCAAGCTCGTATACAAACGACAGTGGACTTCATTACATGAACGGATGTGACTTTAGTTAGATACAGCAATAGAACAGTTCTCTCTCCACACAAAAAGTAGACAATAATTAAAATGTACAGACAAGTCACTTGATAATTATGTTCCTGTGTTACTAGCTCTAGCAAAATTCATCACTTCTTGATGACTGATACTTGAAAAATGAAATAATTGTGAAATATGATCATTTCTGCTTCTGTTATGAATCTACAGCCCTATCCACGTTAAGCCACCATGCAAAAAAAAAAAAAAAAGACGTTCAAAAAAACTAAAATTGTAAGCCCTTCCATTTCTTGGGAAACCTGCTCCACTGTACACAAGCATTATGTTAGGTTTCAGAGTAGCAGCCGTGTTAGTCTGTATTCGCAAAAAGAACAGGAGTACTTGTGGCACCTTAGAGACTAACCAATTTATTTGAGCATAAGCTTTCATCGGATGCATAGAATGGAACATAGAGTAAGAAGATATATATACATACAGAGAATATGAAATGGCGGAATAAGAGGTTAATTAATTAAGATGAGCTATTAACAGCAGGAGAAAAAAACTTTTGTAGTGATAATCAAGATGGTCCATTTAGACTGTTGACAAGAAGGTGACAGGATACTTAACACGGGGAAATAGATTCAATATGTGTAATGACCCAGCCACTCCCAGTCTCTATTCAAACCCAAGTTAATGGTATCTAACATTATGTTGTTTACCTAGGAGAGCCCTGATCCTATGAATACTTACGAATATCTTAACTTTGAGCCCAGAAATAGTCCCACGCTACATACAGATCCAAGCACACTGTCAGAATTCACCACACTTGTATCCTCAACTTCTATTGTTCATTGGTTTCACTACACAACTGATAACTGATTTTTAGTTGCCTACATTAATTTTTTTTTAAATGTGATTATTCTGACTTTTAAAGATTTAAAATTTCCTGTTAGTATAAAAATGGAAAGATTTGGAAATTACAACTATCCATCAAAATGCATAAAAAGCATTGCGTAATGTATGTATATTACTGACACACAAATGCACCTCAAATCCTTCTCAGCCTTCTCATTATTTACAAATGCAAATAAAAGCCTGGACAGCTGAGGTTAAGCTTACCCAAAAGCCACGGCTCCAGCTATAGCCAGTCCTAAGGCAGCAGATTTACCACGTCCCCTGGCAGCTGTTAAAGCCACGGTGCTCCTCAGAGTCTTCTCAGAAATGGCTTCAATAAATTTCAAAAGTGCTTTTGCCTAGTGAATAGGAAACAAAACACAGGAGTGGTGTTTAATGGAGCAATAAAGCCATGTGCACATGGTATCACTAATGGGAGATGACACATCCCTTTTCCAGGTATTGGGGGGCAGGACGGGAAACAATGAGAAAGAGAGACATTAAAACCGGCCAAATAACTTATTTTTTTCACCGCTTGATACTTAATACTACAATCTCTGAGCATACTTGCACCTTGAGCTCTCAAAATGGGACTGGGCAAGACACAGAATCATAGCTATCGTGTATTGTGGATCTCAAGAGCACGTTTTACTTGAGAACTTTAAATCACTTTATTCCAGAAGATTGTCATAAGCACCTTACTGTCATTTGTGCCTAACTCCACTTGGAAGTCCCAGAACCCCTCTGTAAGGTAGAAAAGTATCTGATCTATTGTGCAGATGGCAGGAACAATGAGGTTTAGAGACTTGCCCAAGGTCACACAGCAGGTCAATGGGAAGAATCTTAAATCCCAGTCTCAGATCTAACCACTAAGTGTACGCCCTGACCAAACCAACACTAAAAGCTAGACATCATGAGAAAGCATGGGACAAAGTAGGACCTGTTTTAACTCTAGAGAGACACACACCCTCTAATCTGTGGAAGGGTGATGATACACAGAGAACAGCAGCAAGAGTAATAAGTATTTGCCTTTTACAAAGCATCTTTCACTCAGAAGGATCTCACAACCCTTCACAAATCACATGCTTGCAAAGTTACCTCTCGCAAGCAGAGCTGTACACAATCAGCACTCTGCACCACACCAGGGATAGAGACATTTTGAACAAGGGCACCAGGACAAGCCCTTGCTCAACTGAAAGAGCTGGGAATCTTTATCATGCATGGACTGGACTTGGAGTTTAAGTTGTTAAATGTAAGACACACAAAATAAGTTACGCGATAGCCCATTTTACCACCTCTTAAGGTAGCTGAGCTAAGTCAAGTCATGCCACGATTTGAACGTGTGGCTCAGTTGCCCACTTATCGCAAATCTGAGGCTTCGAGAGCTCTTCGCCATTTCCTCTCGGTAAGTGAGCTTTCTAGCACAACTCCTCAGCCTCTTTCCATTCTAACCCTTCCTTTCATTAGGGAAAGTCAAGCTGCTTGAAGAGGCCTCTCAGAGCTGCCTTTGAGCTGCCCCGTCATGTTAACTCTTCCAAGCAAGCCAAGAGAGAGCTGCTTTCCTGTAGGAGGCAGCACTGGTTTGTGAACTTTTCATTCAGAGGCACAGCATGGGACACGAACATGAATGGCTGGGGTATCTGTCAAGAGAACGGCGCTCCCAGTTTAACACCATGCCAACCTGATCCAGAGTTTTACAGCTATCCACCAGCACGCCTACAGGTTGCGTATCCTGCAAGCTCTCCTTCAATTCCTTCAGCTCCAGATCCTGAGGTCTGAGACTATCCTCCTAGAAGCAAGAGAAGAATTTAACAAAGCAGGATTAATACGGGACCTTTCACCACAGCTGCTGCCTCCACACTTGTCGTATGGCAGGAAGAGACGTTCTATTGCAAATTTAATACTGGGATCAGGCTTGTAGGTGGGGCATACATTTGGGTCCAACATATGATACATCCTTCAGAATGAGGGACCGGTGAGCTGTGAATCCAGTCCTCTCTGGACTTGGATTAGAAGAATGATCAACCCAGCCTCAATCCTAGATTATTGAGAACTGGTACAATAGGCTGTATTAACTCAGAAGAAGAGATTATTGCTAGATACCTTTCTAAAGTCTATTTTGGTAAGTCATCTTCAGTCTATTGAAAGAAAAATAAATCACGTGGATTACATCAAAGAAACACTGGGAGTAAGAGAAACCCAAAAAAGCAAAGAGTTAAGTTGACACGATTCTTGACAATCCCAGTCCCTATGCATTATTGAAGCCCATAGGTCATGCAAAACCATATACTCTTTCTGCCCTAGACACAATGGGGCTATTGCAGAAGGGCATTCCCAGCAAAGCGTTAAGACAAGTTTTGCCAAACACTTCACAAATACTGGTTAAGCCACACAACATCCCACAAGGTGAGAAGCATTACAGAGGGGAAACTGAGGCACAGAGGCGAAGTAGCTTGCCACACAGCAAGTCAATGGCAGAGCCAGGAATAGAACCAAGAATCCTGACCTATAGCCCCTGGCTCTAACCACTAAAACAAGCATTTACTGTTATTTGAATACTCTGAGGGATGGTTTCAGAACCAATCTGTAACTAAATTAAGGAACAGGTTTACAAACTAATCTTTAAAAGTGCTCGTGCAAAGAATATGGTCATGGCCAGCTGGGGTACATGGATACCTCAACTTGTACACGCATGTCTGGGTTTGCATGCACATATAAGGTATGGTGGGTATAAAGATTTGGCCCTAAATATTGATTTATTACTCAAACATGAAATAAGTCTACTGATGTTCATGAACTGATTAAACACCTAAGTAGAGTCCCTCAATCGAGTTACTTCCCTGTTTCACTGTTGCTTATTATTCCTTATTTTCTAGGAGGGAGCTTCCAAGTCAGATCTATTCTCATCACACTTCTAATATCCACCACTTCGACAAGAGAATGAAATTTCTGCACTGCAGGCAAGTCATTATTAAATCTTATTTTTTCTTTGCTAGCTGTCTAATTACAGAACTCTATCTTAGTGGCACATGTTTAAAGAAAGGCACATATCCTTGATTGAGGGAGGAAAGCTACGTGCTATGCCTTTGGGCTAATGAGATGAACAGTTGCACAAAGCAGTAGATCTTGCTACTGATCCAGGGATCCACTTTCCAAAAACAAACACAAGCCATTATGTTAAACTGAAATAAGCAAGGAAATTCAGTGATAGAACTCCCAGACCACTTCTGGTCAACCTGTCAGGATTAGATACTGCAGCACAAATTATATAAAACCCACCCATTTTTCTGAGATGTCCCAGCTGTCAGTAATGGAGAATCACAGAAAATGAGTTATGTTTTCAACTATATAGCCACCTTAGCTTTCTTCTAGTTTTTATACTCTGTTCCTTTGTTCCTCCACTCTACACAGTCTAAGTTATGAGGGAAAATTCCCCTAATTACATCAGTGCAAGTGCAGGAGAGGCAAAAGACCTTGTAATAGCTTGAAATAGCAAGACAGTAGAAATAGCTCTTCCCCAACCTTTAGAAACAAGGGGATCAGTTTTCAAATTTAAGGTTGAGAGTTTCAAAGCTAACCAGTGGATTTAGACACACAAGTCCCACTAATTTTAAGTGGAAGTTGTCTAAATTTCCTAGTTATCTTTGGAAATCTCAAAAGAAAGCACTCAGCTGTACCGGAAAGCCCACTGTCTCCCTTCAATCATCTCCTATTTAAATGGAACTTCAGGTGTGCTAAATCAAGACTGCTATTTGCAGCAGGATAAGTTTCAGTGTAAATCAGAGCACACCCAACTTAATGGCGGGAGGCATCCAGGCAGCAGAATCACTGCCTACCACAGAAGTTCATCATCAAACGAAAGGAAGGAGTCTGGAGACAAAAGCATGACATGGCAGTATTGCCAGTCACGTTAGATACTCAGATCTATGGAGAGCAGGGCTGTCATGCGGTCACTGATACTGTAACACCACCGCCAAAGTTCAGTGGAGAAGAACAGTAGTAGTAGGTTTTGCAGTACTATCAACTGATACCACAACGCTATGGATCAGAACTTCTCAGGACTCAAATATCTCAAAGTTCTCTTGTCAATAGTGATGTACAAGTTTAGAGCACCTTCTGTTCCCCATACTTCCAAAACTTTGCAGATTATACACAGACGCTTCTTTCATCAGTGAAATGCAGGAAGTGCATAACAGCAATACTATTCAACGGTTTAGGTCAAGAAGTAAGGAGAAGCATCCAACATACTGCAGAGAATTTTGGTGACCAGAATTACCCAGACAGTAATATTCTCAGGACAGAGAGCTAAACCCCCATACATTTGTAAAACATGCCAAAAGATATTCAGCCACCATAAGTGATCAACCTCTCATCTGACAGCTGACATTGCCAGCAGCACAATACTTCCTAAGCTGCTAATGGACTTTTTCAGCAATGATTCAAAGGAGCACCTTCTGCTGAATCACTGACACTGTTCCCGACAGCACCTAGATGGCTACTGCTTGCCAGATATAAGAAGCAGCTGAATCTTCAAGTCCAGAATTTAGAATTGGCTCTGTCCTCTTTTAGTCTGAGATTAGAATAATTCTTGGTATTTAGTGGGGAAGAAGAACCTCATCCTTATCAAACTTTAAACTACTGTTTGCATCTTTGCCTTGGAAGAGGCTATTTGACTCAAATACATAATATGCACTTACCTGAGACTGTGGAGGAACTGGTGTTATGTTTGCAATGTGACTAGAAATTGGCAGGATGTTGAGCTGATCATCAATCACTATGCAGTTCTTACAAGAGGCCAGAGACAGAATGAACCTGCATGATTAGAGAAAAGCCAGCTCAGATACAGCACTGGTGGCACCATAGCCCTTTGGTAGCTTGTTTACCCCGGCTCCCTTTCTCTCCAGATGCTGCATTTACAATCTGGTCCTGCTTTTACACAGTTTTATAGCTTGGCTGAGACAAGTTCGTTGCTCAACCCCTTTTATTTAACGTTCCTGGTGTGCCCCACCGTTATACGGCTGAATGTTCTATAAACCAGAGACATTCACCTCCATTCCACCAACTTAAGGTGATCTTTCAAGAAAGCCTCAGAATATGACATGACGATTAATTTGAAAATATCAGTGTAAACAGGCAGCTCTTGACCCCAAGGTAGTAGTTACATGTACCCATCAACGTAAAATTCTAGGCCCTCATACTGGTTGTTGATTCCGTTTTACCCAAGAGACCACACATCCACCAGCTACATGCTAAAGAACATTCTATATTCTTCCCAGGGGGAAAGATGGTGTTAGTTATCTATCCTCATAGCAATGAAAACTTTTTATTCAGTATAGTAAGGCAGATTTCTTGGCTTTTACAAGAGACTGATCAAATGCCATAAAGAGAAGCCAAGCATCAACGTTTTCATATTTTTAAGCCATGGAAGTGCTTTGTGAGTCTCATCAAGAGCCACAACAATGGGAGAATGTCATTCTGATATTTGTGCTTCTGCAGAGCCCTTCATCAAAGAATCTCAAAGCACGTCACAAAAATTAACTCATTAGGCTCTACAATATCCCTTGTAAGACATGCAAAGGTTATACGTACATACACAACTCCCCCACCAGCGAAGTGCAGCCACTTCTGTGATAAGAAGGCACATACATTATTCTAAGTTAACAGGACATTGTGCCAATCCTGAAACAAGACCCTGCTGTGGATACCTTTCTTGCACATGCAGACTTGTTAGCTTAGGTTTTCAAGCTCCTAACAACCCACCTTTCGTTAAACCTCCCTATTATGTCCTGATGTGCCTCTGTTCTGTAGCGTGAGTGAACATCCTGAAACAACAAGACAAAGATCACTGAGTCTCACAAGTCTGAAACATGAAGGAATCTCTGGGTTAGAGCACAGCTTATATGGAATATAATTCATATGGACTATCAAACATTCCTTTGTCTCCATCCATTCTTGACTATGTTTCTCCTTTCCCCGGCACAGAACTTTCTTTTCCTGTATATCAGTCATCTCCCCCACCTTCCAAATTCCTCTTTAAAAATAATACCTTTTTACCCTTCCCAGCATTAATTTCCACGCCAGCCCTATCTACTCCCTGAACTTTATGTGATTGCATCATACTGTCTAATTTATGGCCCAGTCATGCAGGGGCTGAATATCGATGATGTATGCCTCATAAGTGAAGCTAGAAAAAACTGATTCTCCAATTCAAGTGATAACTCAATTACAACTAGTGAAACTCCCTAGCTGAAAAATGAATATATTCAGCATAAACAGGTTGCACTTCAGAGATTTTATCAGTAGTGAAGTTGCTCCTACTTAACAGTAGGTATGAATTTGGGAAATTGAGCTCCTCTTTCCAAGTTAATAAAATTCTAGCAAATGTGCCCACCCTGGAAAGAAAGGTAAAATTGTACATTCCATTTGCTTGTATAGTGCCCAGACCGAGATCATTAATACCGTGTCACACTGAGCTCCCAGAGAAGAATTGAATCCTTATTCTATATCTAAAGAATTAAGTTGTTAATGATGCGTCCTCACATTTGATTCCTCAGTCTAGGAGGAATTCAAGTCACCTTGTTAAGCAGAACTGCCTAATGGCAGACACACACACAATAGCAGAGAAATAACAGTACGGGGGTGGGGGGAGAGAACCACTTAAATGATGACTCAGCATATAATATAAAGCCGAAGAGAAACGCACTATGTCTGGAGACTCTGGACCACCACTGTGTGGAAAAGGATCAGAGGTGCTTGTTAATCAAACATACCATGGTCACTGTATACAGCTGCTTCAGTGAGTTCATAGTTCTGAGGAGAATCACCACAATTCCACCTCCTTCCACTGTTTCAACAGTTCTAGCCAGCAGGTTTGGAGTCAAGGCTTCAAAATCCTAGTAACGAACAAATTCAAAGTTGTTGTGAGTCTTCCAAGACAACTGGCATCAGCTAGCAGGAATCAAACTACCATAAAACACATTTCTGGAGGTATGCGGTGTAGTTGTAGCCGTGTCAGTCGGAGGAAATTAGAGAGAATGTGGGTGAGGTAATATCTTTTACTGAACCAACTTCTGTTGGTGAGAGCACCAAGCTTGTCTCTCACCAACAGAAGTTGGTCCAATAAAAGATATTACCTCACCCACCTTCTCTCTCTAATATTTCTGGAAGGCAAGCTTCTATAACATTAGTGTTTTCTTGCTTCTAATTCTGCCAACAAATCCACTGTGCTCACAAAAAGCCATGCAAAATACCTTGAGCCATCACCACTGAAAAATACAAGCAAGACACAGATTTCTCCTGTAAGACATTTAAATTTCTAGAAAGGCAGTAAATGGCCCAGGGGAAAGAAGACTCTCATTCTAGTGTAATTTTTTTTTTAAGCTAAATGATAAATTTGTTACCTGGAGTACACACATGCCAAAGGTGTTACCAAGAATTTTATGGGTCTCATTGTAATAGCAGTAGTGAATGTTTGTGGCTGCTATAAACAACTCAAAAGGGTCATCCTGCTTTAGGTTTAAAGTTCCACTTTTAATCTTCTTTTGTAGTTGTCTCATTCGCTTTTTACGGTGGCTGGGAAAAAAAAAAAAACAATTATATGGGAGTTGTCATGGAAAGAGGGCTGGGCTGAGGAGGCTGTTTGAGATCTGGTTCAGATCTAAAAAGGGGGTTCCAGAATTCAGGCTCTAGGGTAAACCAGGGGTAATGTTTGGGTTACACAGTGTTGGACTCATCAACTGTTCCTAGGAGATTTCAACCCAAAAATCACAGAAATCAAATAGGATCAGCTTATCTTGAAAAATTTCAGTTGTCTTATAGCCAAATCTGAAAGAAATCCCCAAAACAGGCCCCCTTTTGATTCTGAACCCATATTTGTAGGTACAGATTCAGATCCAGGGATTAATCCCCCCTTAAAGTCGAAGTTTTGACATGAGGGCCTACACTCTGCATTCAATTCTAAGGGCTTGTCTACACTACAGGTGCTACAGCATCGTAGCTGTGCCATGGTAGTGCCATAGTGTAGATACTTGCTACAGCGAGGGAAGGGGTTTTTCCCATGCTGTAGTTAATCCATCCCAAGAGGCAGCAGCGAGGTCAATGGAAGAGTTCTTCTGTCAGCCTACGAGTATCTATACCGGGGCTCAAGTCACACCCCTGAAAAACACAGCTGGGTCAACCTATGCTTAGGTATAGATCATGCCTAAATGTTACTAAAGTTATGTAAGGGGGGGAAACTAAGGTAAAGAGGGTCACCAGGCCACAGACTCAGCACTGGAGCTGTGATTAGAACTCAGCAGTTCGTGGCTCCCAGCCCCATACTTCTGCTACATTATTCAAGTGAAAACAAACAATTCTATTACACTGAAACTTTTGTACAATCATCACAGGATTTAGCTTAGTTTCTCCACTCAATTGAAACAAGCAACCTACATACAGCTGACCTGAGAAGAAGCTCCCTTAGATCAGCTTCACAACCTGGAGTGCAATTAGACTCCCCACGGAGAGTGAAAGACAAAAACCTCTTACCTGCTAAAGCCCAGCTCCTTCTTGTAACACCACAAGACTGAGGGTCTGGCCTTCACAGTTGCTTTAGATAGCATGTGGTGGAGTATAACCACCTATCAAAACAAAGGCACATTAATCACTGCTGCATTGAGAGGAGATAATCATGAAGTGAAACATTTTTTTAGATCCCAAGTGGAAAATATCAGATTTTTGAGACAGACTCATATTGTACAAGTTCTCAGTATTAGCAGGAGGTAAGAGATGGCACAACTCACATCCAGCACCTTGTACTGACCCCCAAAACATCAGAACATGAACCCCATATAAGACATGCTACAGATTATAACCTGGAGCAGAATTGCTGGGAAAGGGAATCCTTTCTAAAGTCTGGACGGACAGTGCAAACCCCATCAAGCCACTAAAGCAGAACTGTGCAAAGTGAGGGCTACCAATTTTTGCTTCAATTATTCCTTCCTATATAGTTCCACTTTGCCATATTTTAAAAACATAGCTGACATAGAAAAAAAGCATTCTGCGTACAAAGCAGATGAATCTCAAACATCACAAGGTTTGTACGTATGCTGAACGTCTAGCTACACGCTGCATAAAGGAGGAAAGGATGGGTAACTAGTTACTAGACAAACTGGTGTCTCTTTCCAAATAACTTGTTTGTAACCACTTATTTAGGCCTGGTGTACAAACGGTGTGTACAAGCTGTCAATCAGGGGTGCCATTTTTTTTAATCAGTTGAGTTATACCAGTATAAGTGCATCCACATTAGGGGTTGTATTACTATAAAGGTGCTTTATACTGGTATGGTTTATTCTCCTTTCTCTATAGGAATAAGCTATAAATGAGTCTATATTGAGGAGATGGTCTGCGCCACCTGAATTATATTAGTAGAGTATAGTATAGTAGCAGCATATTTAAAACTATACAACTTTTGCGTTTAGACAAGGCCTTCACCATCTATTGCACAGGCAGACTTTTAAACAAAGGTAACTTTTCCCCATGTCTCTTGAAACCTGCATCAGCACACACCAGCAGCATTGCAGAGGCAGCACATTCCACCCCTATATAGTAGATGGGGGTGTCTGAATTTGGGCAGTGCTCGCCATTCTCTCTCACTAGAACATCCACTGAGAGCCCAAAGGGGAAGATGTATGGGCGAAATCTTTCCATACAATGTTGCCTCTACAAATTACTCCAGCAGGATTTCTACTGTGGTGAGCCTTGCAAGATAACTGGATAGATAACACCTGGCTTGAGTCACAAAAGTGACAATTTGTAGGAGAACATTAGGATAATTTTACCAATTTAAATTAAATGAAGGGGAAACTCTCACCAGCCTTGTTAGGGAGTAGTGTCTTTTTCCTTTAGAAAGAGTTCAGATTCTTCTTTATTTTACCTGCTTTATTTTCTTTCCTGAGCTTTTTTAAAATAGCAGATGATGCTTAATATTTACATCCTTCCAAGCATTATTGATAATCCTTGTTTCTATTATTTCATGGTTTGTCCGAACATAAATATCACACTCTACAGCATTTACAGCCTTATTAGGTACAATACATAGTATACTGTTCATTCTTAGAGAAGTTTTTCTGTAAATATACTAACTCAATGTCTACTTGTCAGATAAGATTCTCATCTCTGCTACTCTAGAAATTAGTTTCTTTCCTTATGAAAGGTGCAAATTATTTATACCTCTACTTATTTACCATTGTGGGCCATGTATTCAGCTCTCCATGTGTTATGTGGGCCACATCCACACACTATATATATACCTGTGTGGCCCTGAGGATGTCACATGGGCCAGAGCTGTGTGCTGATTGGGCTGTGGGTTAAGAACCACTGCTCTAGACTCAGACTGTACATTAACTAAAAAGAGCCACTGAAAATATCTGGTCCTAGGCTGACAGTTACCTGATCCTTCCCATGGTCTCCAACTAGAACAAAAAGTGTTCTGTGTCGCTCAGCCACTCCATTCTCAATTAGCACTCGAATGCGATTGTCTACCTTCTTGCGCTGCATGGTTAGTGAAAATGCCTGAAAAGTTTTTTCAAAAGTTAGCCAGTCTCAGACCTACAACAGCGTGTTTCAGTTTAGGATGTACAGTGGTGCCAAGAACATAAGATGCCCAAAGCTTTCATGAGATGGTTGAGATTTTTACATCAGATATTCTTTGCTTTTTTCATTCTGACACTACCTTCCAACACAATCACAGATTTGATGTTTTTGTTTTTTAAGTATCTGATTTTAAAAAAAGCAATTTGACAATTTCTGGTGGAAATTGTTTACATTAGAATGATGTTAAAGAAACATTTAACACAGTGCAATAACTCAGAAGGGTTTGTCATACAATTAAAAAGCAGACAGCATTTTTCCAACACTGGGTTTCACTTGTAAATAGTTATCTTTAACGAGCAAGGCAGCACCTTCTTCCTTCCAATTGCCCAACCCTTAAGTTCACAGTACTGGATGTTTTTGTATTGTTCCAGCAAAGTCACTAAGATAATAAAATATTAGATCTTACAATCACCTTATTCTGATTACCATGTTGCTTTTTTCTCCTCCACTCTCATCACAAGATTTAAGCAACTGTTATTTCACAAAGCACTAGTTACAGATTAAGGATTTACTCCAGTGGAAAGCAGGGTTCCAAGTTCTCAAAGAGGAAATGGCTATTAAAGTTGTATTAGAGTCACAGAATCACTTTCTGGCTCCTGAGGTTACCAAAAGAGTAACTTCAGTAATATTTTGGGAAGTACAGGGAAGGATGAAGAGCATAATCAAACCGTCATTTTATGTTTAGGTACTTAATTGGGTGACAAGACTAAAATCAATGCAGTATGCTGCTGGAAAAACTGAGATTTCACTTCCAATGGTATACAGCTCTAATGTTTTTTTGAGATGCTGGACTTGCCCCATCGCCAACCATTAGTTTAGCAGTGCTTTTTGAACACTATTGCAGGACAGCGTAATAAGCAATGGCTCAATATTTACTCCATGCTTTAACTATGTGTAGTCACATACACACACACAGGCCATGACTGTCAGCTGATCATATCCAGATGGACGAAAGTTCTTGCATGTTCATTTCCGAAACTTAGACCTCTAGTCAGTGAGCTAAAGGATTATTAACGCCAATGAAGAGCAGCACTGAGGTAGTTCAGCCAATAGGCAATACATTGTTTTGATGGGCTGCAAAAAGGTTCCCAGACCCATTGTGTCTACCCGAAATTGTAAAGATTGTATCCTTTTTGTTCTCCAAGTGTACACACGTGTGCATACACACACATCAGATCCTTAAAAGCTTCTCTGAAGCAGAAGTGACAGAAGTGACAGCTTTAGCAAAGCTTTTGACACGGTCTCCCACAGTATTCTTGTCAGCAAGCTAAGGAAGTATGGGCTGGATGAATGCACTATAAGGTGGGTAGAAAGATGGCTAGATTGTCGGGCTCAACGGGTAGTGATCAATGGCTCCATGTCTAGTTGGCAGCCGGTGTCAAGTGGAGTGCCCCAGGGGTAGGTCCGGGGGCCGGTTTTGTTCAATATCTTCATAAATGATCTGGAGGATGGTGTAGATTGCACTCTCAGCAAATTTGCGGATGATACTAAACTAGGAGGAGTGGTAGATACGCTGGAGGGGAGGGATAGGATACAGAAGGACCTAGACAAAATGGAGGATTGGGCCAAAAGAAATCTGATGAGGTTCAATAAGGATAAGTGCAGGGTCCTGCACTTAGGACGGAAGAATCCAATGCACCGCTACAGACTAGGGGCCGAATGGCTAGGCAGCAGTTCTGTGGAAAAGGACCTAGGGGTGACAGTGGACGAGAAGCTGGATATGAGTCAGCAGTGTGCCCTTGTTGCCAAGAAGGCCAATGGCATTTTGGGATGTATAAGTAGGGGCATAGCGAGCAGATCGAGGGACGTGATCGTTCCCCTCTATTCGACATTGGTGAGGCCTCATCTGGAGTACTGTGTCCAGTTTTGGGCCCCACACTACAAGAAGGATAAATTGGAGAGAGTCCAGCGAAGGGCAACAAAAATGATTAGGGGTCTAGAACACATGACTTATGAGGAGAGGCTGAGGGAGCTGGGATTGTTTAGTCTGCAGAAGAGAAGAATGAGGGGGGATTTGATAGCTGCTTTCAACTACCTGAAAGGGGGTTCCAAAGAGGATGGCTCTAGACTGTTCTCAATGGTAGCAGATGACAGAACGAGGAGTAATGGTCTCAAGTTGCAGGTTTAGATTGGATATTAGGAAAAACTTTTTCACTAGGAGGGTGGTGAAACACTGGAATGCGTTACCTAGGGAGGTGGTAGAATCTCCTTCCTTAGAGGTTTTTAAGGTCAGGCTTGACAAAGCCCTGGCTGGGATGATTTAACTGGGAATTGGTCCTGCTTCGAGCAGGGGGTTGGACTAGATGACCTTCTGGGGTCCCTTCCAACCCTGATATTCTATGATTCTATGAAAAGGGCTATTTGATCACCTAGTCCAGTGGTTCTCAAACTTTTGTATTGGTGACCCCTTTCACATAGCAAGCCTGAGTGTGACTCCCGACCCCCATGCTTATAAATTAAAAACATGTTTTTTATATTTAACACTATTATAAAAGCTGGAGACAAAGCAGGGTTTGGGGTGGAGGCTGACAGCTCGCGACCCCCCATGTAATAACCACATGACACCCTGAAAAGTCATGACCCCGTTTGAGAACCCCAACCTAGTCCATCCTCTGCCTGTTTGGGCTGCTCCCTGCTGTAATTTTCATATTCCAAGGTGACTAAACACCTCCATAAAATCAGAATATGTTCTTCAGAAAACAAAACAAAAACAAGATGCCAGGTGTCCAACGACACAACAACTATTGTGACTGCAAAACGACACAGGCCCTCTGATCCGCACGTAAAGCAGGGGGGGGGAAAGGAGCAAGGAAAGCTGTATGGGAATGAATTTAGGAGTATCCCGAGTTTAACACAGGACTGGGGCTGGTTCGGAAGAATGAGTGTGGGAAAGGGGAGAAAGAAAAGACCAAGATTGCTAGGGAAAACAGGAAAACGGAGCATCCCCGGAGCAGGAAGGGAGAAAGAGACCGGAGAAGCACGGGATGGGGGCGCCAGGAAAATAAAGAGGCTTGTGAAAGCGTTGGGGGAAGGAGGTTGTAAAGGGCTGGGCGGTGAAGTACATCACACGCACAGATCATGGCCGCCAGGCTAACTGATGCGAGCCACATGGCAGAAACTTCTCATATTTTCCATTTCCAAAACTCCAGCCGACAGGAGGAGGAAAAAACGGCTCCAGGGGCAAACGCACCCACGCCTCCCAACTCCGCAGCCCCCTGCCCACGCCCCGCCACATGACAAACCATCGCTGACAACAGGGCTCGGGGGCCCTCCCGACTACCTCCATCGCACGCACCTCACCGAGCCCGGCGGCGGGAGACACCCCGGGTCGCGGAGGCGACTGCTCCGCAGCTCCGGCCCCAGCAGCGAGCCGGCCTCCGGCAGCGCGGCTCCGGCCCCACGTGGCAGGCGGCCCGGGGAGGAAGGACTCGGCGAGGCGGGGAGGCGGCGCGGCGAGCGGAGCATGCGCGGTAACTTCTGCTGACGGCTCTGCCCGGAGTCCGCCCGCACTGGGCAGCGCCTCCCGGCGGCGGCTCGCGGGGCGGGAGGGACGGGCGGTGTCGGGGCGGGAGCACTGAAGGCGCAGGAGGGGCAAACCGCTCGCAGCCCAGGGAGCAGCGGGAGGGCGACCAGAGAGAGGGGGCGCGACCCACGCTGGGGATCCCGCTGCGGCAGGGGGGAGGCAGCTCCGCGCCGCAGTTTCTAGGCTATTTCGGGGGAGGTGGACACAGCTTTTAAAACCCAGGCCTGGCCCCAGCTCGGGCTAAGGGGCTGCTGTTTAACTACCGTGTAAAGATCCGGGCTCCAGGAGCCTGCGAGGTAGGAGGGCCCCAGAGCTCACGCTGCAGCCGGATCCCGAACAGCCACACCGGTTAAACAGCCCCTTAGCCCGCCAGCTGGCACAGGCCAGCCGTGGTTGTCTAACTCTAAGGGCAGTATAGACATACACACCCTAGCCGTTAAGGGACACGGGGCAGCTGGAGCGCTACGCCGGCTATGAAGGGAAGAGGGAGAGGGTAGCATGGCTGAACCTGTTAGGCAGATATACTGAATTCCCTCCAGAGCTGATATTGCCTTTTCTGGGTACAGGTGCAAGTACTAGTTACATAGTGCGCTGCTGTTTAAAATTAGGTACTTGGTGTATATGAATACTCTTTGGTGGTCAAGAGCAACACAAAGGATTATTATTTAGAAAAGGGAGTGCAGAATGCTCCGGCCCACTTTAGGAGCACTAGATCAGGGAGGGTAAGGGCCTCATCGCCCTTACCCCAAGGGGAATCTAAAAAGATGCATTTTAAGTCCCTTTAAATTTAATTGAATGTCCTTTGTTATTGTATTATGAGGAGAAAAAGTAAACACAAGGGAAGGTGTGTGAGTGTCCAGCTTTCTGTATAGAGCACGCTTAAGCATTACCTCACTCCCAGTTTTGTCCTCCAGCTGTAACAGTTTGCACAGCTAGACCCTGATTCACAAAAAAGTCAGGAAGTTTTAAAAAATTTACATCAGACACAAGCGGGGAGGGGAGAAGGGGCGAGAAAGGAGCAGCTTAAGACATATACAAGGTGGATGGGAGAGATTGTGTGGTGTTTTTTTTTTTTTTTTTTAAATCCTGGCAGCTCTTTGAATGTAGAATTAGCACAAAATAAAGATGAAGAAGTTTAGAAGTACAGGGGAAAAAATAAGGAACATTAAATATTTTTTATAAGTTACACCACTATTTCGCAAGTGCAAGACTAGGCAACAACTCATAAAATGATCACTACCCTATTCAAAAGTTTGATTTGTACAATCTGTTACCCACTTTCTAGAATATAAGAAATACCACCCAATTAAACAATAAATGCAGAAAAGATAGCAAACATTTTTAAGTCCACAAACTGGTCTGTATGCTGCTCACTGGCGGCACAGAACGGGGAGATCACGGGATACAGGCTCTTTCAGATGTTAAATTGCATTTATAACTAACATAGATGGCTTAAGTGGATAATTACTTTAAAAAGTAGATGCTATAGTTCCCATAAAATGCAGGTGTTTTATACATTAACTCAGAGGACACTGTAAGGAGGAACTGCCTACCTTGGGCCTGACCTAGAATCATAGACTAAGGTCAGAAGGGACCATTATGATCACCTAGTCTGACCTCCTGCACAATGCAGGCCATGGAATCTCACCCAGCAACTCCTGTAACAAACCTCTAACTTATGTCTGAGCTACTGAAGTCCTCAAAGTGTGGTTTAAAGACTTCAAGGTGCAGAGAATCCTCCAGCAAGTGACCCGTGCCTCACACTGCAGGGGAAGGCGAAAAACCCCAGGGCCTCTGCCAATCTGCCCTGGGGGAAAATTCCTTCCCGCCCCCAAATATGGCGATCAGCTAAACCCTGAGCATGTGAGCAAGATGCACCAGCCAGACACCCAGGAAAGAATTCTCTGTAGTAACTCAGATCCCACTCCATCTAACATCCCATCACAGGCCATTAGGCATATCTTCCGCTAGTAGTCGAAGATCAATTAATTGCCAAAATTAGGCTATCCCATCATATCATCTCCTCCATAAACTTATCAAGCTTTGTCTTGAAGCCAGATATGGCGTTTGCCCCCACTGCTTCCCTGGGAAGGCTGTTCCAGAACTTCACTCCTCTGATGGTGAGAAACCTTTGTCTAATTTCAAGTCTAAACTTCGTGATGGCCAGTTTATATCCATTTGTTCATGTTCACGGTAGTATTGATCTTAAATAATTCTTCCCCCTCCATAGTATTTATCCCTCTGATATATTTACAGATAGCAATCATATCTCCTCTCAGCCTTCTTTTAGTTAGGCTAAACAAGCCAAGCTCTTAAGAGTCTCCTTTCATAAGACAGGTTTTCCATTCCTCGGATCATCCTAGTAGCCCTTCTCTGTACCTGTTCCAGTTTGAATCATCCTTCTTAAACATGGGAGACCAGAACTGCACACAGTATTCCAGATGAGGTCTCACCAGTGCCTTGTATAACCTAGCCTGATGCATCCCAAGACCGCATTAGCTTTTTTTGACAGCCATATCACACTGGCAGCTCATAGCCATCCTGTGATCGACCAGTACTCCGAGGTCCTTCTCCTCCTCTGTTACTTCCAAGTAATGTAGTCCCAGTTTATAACAGAAATTCTTGTTTTAATCCCTAAACACATGACCTTGCACTTTTCACTATTAAATTTCATCCTATTACTATTACACCAGTTTACAAGGTCATCCAGATCTTCCTGTAGGATATCCCGGTCTTTCTCTGTATTGGCAATACCTCCCAGCTTTGTGTCATCCGCAAACTGTATTAGCACACTCCCGCTTTTTGTGCCAAGGTCAGTAATAAAAAGATTAAATAAGATTGGTCCCAAAACTGATCCCTGAGGAACTCCACTAGTAACCTCCTTCCAGCCTGCCAGTGCACCTTTCAGTAGAACCTGCTGTAGTCTCCCCTTTAACCAATTCCGTATCCACCTTTCAATTTTCATATTGACCCCCATCTTTTCCAAATTTACCTAATAATTCTCCATGTGGAACTGTATCAAATGCCTTACTGAAATCAAGGTAAATTAGATCTACTGCATTCCCTTTGTCTGTGTCTTCCAGACCCAGGTGCCGTCCTGTGGCCACACTGCTCCACCAGAAGCAGAGAGGGAGCCAGGACTGAGAGCAGCCACTTGGGTTCCTGGATCAGAAGGGAGATGCTGCCCTTTTCCAAGCGTAGGGGAGGGTCAAGGTTACAGGAGCCCATCAGCTTGATCTAGTGAGAGGGGTTCCTTCCTTCTCCAATCCCAAGCCTATGGGGGGGAGGGAGGCAGCAAAGTCAAGGAGCTAGGGGTAACAGCAGTAGTTTGAGCTCTGGGGGAGGAATTCCTCAAATCCTGGACCATAGGAAAGGAGAAGCAGGATATGCCTCAGGGAACCCTATAGGGAGCCATGCTCCCCAACTGCAAGCAAGGGGGAAGGGAAGCTCTGGCTGCTTGGGCTGGCTGAGAGAAAACACACCTGGAGGGATGTCTATCTCACTTTCACCCCACAGCAAACCGCAAAGGAGGTGAAAATTCTCAGGGGGTTTTGTTTTGAGCAGACACTTGCCTCACAAAGCATAGCCCCTCTGCAGGTGCATGCAAGCCCTGTTAGCACAAGGCAGGAGGACAGCTGCTGTACCGAGAAGGGTCTTGGTTCGTGGGTAAACGCGTCCCAGAGTTGGGCTCAATACCTACACAGAAGGGGACAGTGATCTTGGTCAGCTAGACCAAAGAGACACACTGGGCCCTGGCATGCCCCTTGCTCACTGTAGACAAATATACCATACATGGGTTTGCTAGAACACAACTTCAATTATGAAATGTGGTAGGGGTTTGTGTGTTGCACACGTTTTTAAACCTACAATATTCCAAGTTTCTACTACTTGAATATTGTATCTGAATTCAAAACAAAATTAAAGGATTCACTGAAAACAAGTGTAAAGTACTACACTTAGGAAAGAAAAATACAAAATAGGGAATAAGTGGCTATGTGGTAGTACTGCTGAAAAAGATTGAGAGATTATAGGGTCTCTCATCTAATGAGTCAACAATTGATGCAGTTGTGAAAAAGCCTAATATTCTGAGGTGCATTAATAGAGGTGTATAAGACACAGGAGGTAACGGTCCTGCTGTACTTGGCACGGGTGGGGCCTCAGCTGGCGTTCAGTGTGAAATTCTGGGCACCACACTTTAGAAAAGATGTGGATAAATTGGAGAGTCCAGAGGAAAACAACAAAAATGATAAAAGGCTTAGAAACACCTAACCTAGGAGGAAAGTTTTAAAAAACTGAGCATGTTTAGTCTTCAAAAAAGAAGCCTGAGGGGGAACATAACAGTCCTCAAATACGTTAAGGACTATTATAAAGAGGGCCATCAACTGTTCTCCATCTCCACTGAAGTAATGGGCCTAGTCTGCATCCAGATATTAGAAAAAAATTTCTCACTATAAACGGAGCTAAGTACTAGAATAGGTTTCCAAGAGAGGTTGTGAATCCCCATCAGTGGATATTTATAACAGGTTTGACAACAACCTGTCATGGATCGTCTAGGTTTACTTGGTCTTGCCTCAGCACAGGGGGGATGAACTCTATATTTCTACGATTCTATGTCCCAATTTTTAAAAATGTGTTTCTTTGTACACCTCCTGATACACAAGAGTCTTTCCAGCCAGGGTGAAACAATCCAGGCAAGGGAACAGTGAAACTAATTCTACCCAAAGAATGGTGAAACAAAGTAAATCAACTGATAAAATAGTCTTTTACAAAAATTTAAGACAGAAATGTGTTTTTCAAGCTGTCCTGCCTCTTCCACTTGAAAGATGTTTGGTCATTTATTGACTCCTTTGCAGATTTGATGTCAGAGTTTTAAAAACAATTTACAATACACATCTACTTAAGTTTTGTTTTAGTAATTTTATGGTTGTG